ACTGATCTACACAATATTATAATTGAGTTCTAATACCAAAACTCTAGTACATGTTCTCACTAACACGTTCCATACAAGACTGACTAAAAATCTAGAACCTTTCCCCTGGTATAGCATTGTCACATGTCTAACGCACCTCGTTGTAATGCCAACCAATAAATGCAGCTCAATGTAAAAAAATTAATATTTCAAAACCAATCACATTTATTCTGACACATAGCTCTCAGCGTGATGGAATTTCCCGAGGTGGCTGACGAGCTAAATATAGATACTGTGTACGTGACATATATATATATATGAGATATAAGATAATTGCTACACATCAAATAGCAAAGCATAAATATATCTATATAATATATTATATGATATTTGTAGTGTTAAGAGTACTATTTCTTTCCATTAGCTGAGACAACTTTTGATCTTTTACTGTGAATTATTCAATGAAATGCATTTTATTTCTTGTTATTTTCGTGTTTAATTAAATTTGTGTTACTTGTATAATTTTTTCTTTCTTTTTTTTAGATGGCATCCAAAAAGACCAAACCCACTGATGAATCAGATTGCAATGAGGGTCCTAAAGATTTACTTAAAAAGAAAAGACTAAGCAATGGTGCTGCTGTAAAAGATAAATTAGACTCTTCCTCCAATGATATAGACAGCTTCTCAGATATCAGTGAAAATGGCTTGGTTAACTATAGTCTTTCAGAAAACGATACTGCTCATACTGTGCAAAACATTGAAGCAGATGCAGAAAACTGCAAAACTGTTGATAAGTCCAATGAGGACAAAAACTTAAATGGTAAAGTTTCTGTTGAAAAAAATCTAAGATCAGAGTACAAAAGAAAAATGACAAGAAGTGCAAGTAAAGAAAATAAAAAAAGAATTAAAGATGACGAAGATGCAAAGGATTTATCCATAAATAGTAAGGTAGAAAGTCCTGGTTTAGAAAATAATATATCAGTGGAAAAAAGTGATAAAAAGAAAGACATTCATAATAAAGACTCTAAAGATGAAGAAATTGATTTGGATGGTAAACAAGTTGCCAATGAGAAAAGCGGTACTGGTGAGAAGGAAAATGAGAAACAGGCAGATGAAAAAAGCAGCAGTGAGAATAAAAAGTCCAAGTCCAAACAATCCGAAAAGAGTGACAATGGAACTGATGACATTGAGATTATTGGTGAATCCAAAGTTGTTAAAGTTAGCACCAGCAATACCCTTTTAACTCAAAATGTGGTATTTGTTCCTGCTGCACTCACTAGCTCTGTTACTTCACACAACATCATAACACAGGGTTTCACTGCTACACACAGCAGCCTTTTAACATCACCCAGTCTGCAAAGCTCCGTAGTGGCTCATGGTGTAAGTAGTGCATCAGCTCCACCTGTCCAAGGTTTAAATCCAGCTTTTTTAACAGCTAATGTACAGGGCAACTATGCTTTTAATAGTGGCATTCCAGCACCTGGCATATCTTTGCTGACACCAACTGTAGCTCCACCTAAACCAAAGTCTAGCTTGGATCAAATTGAACTAATTAGGTGGGAAATTCAGAATAGAATTAATACCCGCCCAAAATATTTTAAACCCAATTCATCTTCTGAACTTGGGCCTTTGGCAAAATTTTTATTTGATATTGGCTCTGATTTGATCAAAGAGTCTGTCTACCATGAACTTGTTAAAATACAATCCAAAAAAGGTGAAGATGAAAAACTGACTGATAAGGAAAAAGAGGATTTAAATAAGCTCAAAGAAATTGAAAAAGATCTTTATGCTACAATAGGCCACCTGAAGCTAAAGCTTAAGAAACACTGTAAAGGTTGTAACTATCAAACAGAATCTGAAAATGTCATGTACTTGCACAAACAGTATCCCCATGAAGATGGCAAAAATCTTCGTTGTGCACATTGCTCATTTTCCACACGGCAAGCAATGACATTTAAGTTTCACATTGAAGCTGAGCATAATGTACAGCCTAAACTGCCTGAAAAGAGAGCTTTTTATGAGTGTGACTTGTGCCCATATGAAAACAACCAGGAACAAAAGCTCATATTACATAAACAACGATGTATTAAACAGTTCCGGCCCTTGTTTAACCTTCATCCAGGCTGCCTTTCGGGGGCAGAAATAAATTTGTGCTTAGAGAACATCTTTTATAAACCTGTGATTCCAAAAAACTTAAAACTACTACAGCAAAAACATGCTCAACAACAGGCTGCATTAGCAGAAGCCAGGAGGCAGCAAGCTCAGGTACAAGCCTTAGCTGCCCAGAAAAATGCAGCAGCTCTTGCAGCTAAGAAGCAACAGCAGCAGCAACCAAGAATGCAGGCAGTAAATGGACCACAGCTCAACTTTCAAAATGCTGCTAGACCACCCTTAACCAAACTACCTGTGCAACAACCACCTGTTCGTTATAGTGCTGCTAATGTCAAAACACCACGACCAACTGTAGCCAACATATTAAATAATAGACAGGCTCAAGGAGTAGGTCAAGGAATTGCACCAGGTGGTTTTGAGGTTTGTGAAATTTGCAGTGGTTATGTCAAAGACAGAAAAGCACTGCGCATACATTTTTTTTATGCTCATCGTATCGATTTACCATTTAATTTGTTTGAGCGCAATCAGGCGCCATTATACTGTGCCACTTGTTACGTCAGATTCTGGACTGCTCAAGGCTTGCGCAAGCATATTGAAACACACAAAGGGGAAAGTCAAGCTCGGGGAGTAGTTGGTAAATGTATATCTTGTTTTGAGCATGTTACAAATTTACTGCTTCACATGCGAGTTGTTCACAACAGAGAACTACAACATTACATAAATGCACTTATGTGTATGTTCTGTGGGGGTCACTTTAGCACACGTCAAGAATGTGAACGTCATATTATAAGGGCACATGGTATTATAGACCCGTTAACAGGTGCAGTTAAAGTGAATGGCACTACTACTCAAGTGGCACAGTCAAAACCATCAGCAACTCAAAAAAAGACACCAGGAAGCAACACTTTAGTCAAGGGCAGTGTATGTGTTCTGTGTAACCTGAATTTTGGCCGCAACGTGGATCTCACAAGACATTGTATGCGTATGCATCATACCTGCATGAAGTGTGGCATGGTGGTTATTGATAAAGCATCACTTCTAAAGCACACATGTCTTTCTTCGCCTAGTGGAACCAGAGATTGCTGTATGTGCTCTGAAACTGGCTTTCATCCTGCTTACTATGTCAAACATCTGCGGGACAAACATTTAAAGAAGTTTTCTATTAAAGTTCATAAATTGTCAAAAGACGTTATTGAAAGGTGGACCAAAAGGCCATATTCAACTGAAGATAGCAAAGAAATACTTGTTGAGATTTCAGATTCTGAGGATGATGTCAAGCAAATATCAAAACCCAATGTTTCTCCAATTAAACGTCCCAGAATGGGACCTGCTTGCAAAGTTAGAAAACCTCTTGAAAGTCAGCCAAAGGTTGAATCTGAAGTAGTAAGAATTGAAGATGATAGTAACGATGATGATGTCGTTGTTGAGAAAGTAGAACTGGGCAAAATAGGCAAGCTATTATCTGACAAAGACACTATTGTAAATGATTCTGCTGAAAAGGCAAAGCCCAAAGTAATTTGTGATGAGAATGTTGATAAAAGTATTGTTATAAATGATAGTGCATCTGAAACCACCGATGACAGTAATATTACAAAAAACACTGACTCAAAGGGAACTAATGAAGCTCAAAATAATGGAAAGGATTCACAAGAAAACAATGATGGTCAGGAAAGTAGATTGCCAGATGATGATAATTCAAAATTGAGTCATAAAAGAAAATTGTCTGAAGAAAATAGTGTAACTGAACTGAGTCCTAAAAGAAGATTATCAGAAGATCAAGAGGATAGGGATATAAAAGCGAGTCTCAAAAGAAGATTATCTGTAGATGATGATGCTGATAGAGTGTCACCAAAACAATTGAAAGAAACAAACTGACTGCCTTACATTAGTAATCACAATGACATATAACTGTACATAGTTCTTTTGTAACTTCAGACTCATTCCGAAATTTGTAATTATCATTTTACTGTGCTCATGTACCATAAATTTCATTTTCAGCTGCTTAGCTGTTTACAGTTGTCGTTGTTAAAAATAATGATTCATAATAGTTAGTTTGAGACTTGACACTTGACTGTTCAAGATTTCAATGATTAAAGTGCAAAAACTAACATACTGTAATATGAATAATTTAATAATGATAAATTCAGTAAGGTCCAATATAATTTGAAGAGACAAGGCACCCATTATGTCCTTACATTTTTTTCCTAGGTTAATGGCTCAGAAGTGTAAGTCTCAAACCTGTCTTTCACCTATTTATTGCTTGCTTGTACTGAAGTGTATCTTTTAAATAATATAATAATAAAAAAAGCTGCCAAATTTTTAAAACTTTGCTGATATTCTATTTAAGTACCAGTGTAGTACAGTATTTTGTTGATTTGTAGCCATTTTGATTACTCTTAGCACAGATATTACCTTTTGTAAAAAGTTTATTTTATGATAGCGAATTAGCAGAACTGTTGGGTTTTTTTGGTCAATACTTTTTTAAAATACATACTGTAAAAGTCTTATATTATTATTTTTTTAAGAGGTCATTATTCTGCACAAGTTTGTGGATTGAATCATTTATTTTGTGCTATAGATTGAAAAGAGGGGTTTAAGACAGTTAAACTGATGATATACATGTCCTAAGTCGTAAATATGTTCTTGATTTGACAGATGTTTTCAAGTTCAGATATTTTCTTATTCTATTGTAAGTAATGTGTTTTTGTGTTCATTTAGAAACCCATGTGAATATCCCGTTATACAAAGATCAGCTGTCCTTTATTAAACCCATCTCAATAAAGATTTTTTTTTTGGACAAATTATATACAATACACTTTGTATTATTTTAACATGAATAATTTTTTAAAGAATAAAAAGGGCAGATGACATATTTAGTGTAAGTTGTGCATTAATCCCCAGGAGGTCTACTGTGATAGTTGTTGTTTGTTTTCTTTTTTGTAAGAGATAAATTTCAGAACTCTTAGAATAAATTAAATATTTGGAATAATGTTCACACATAGTTATAACATTGCAGAATAGCTTAAACTATCTACTGAAATATCTCAAAAATGATTTTTAATACTATTTAGAAAAGTAATTTTATTTTCCTTTTTACTTCTTGTAAAAAATCAAATAATTTTACATTCTGCTCTTTTTTTTTTTTTTTTTACATCATTAATGTACTTCCAACTGTGGCTTAACAATTCTTTATATTTGTCAAAAAGAAAACTAAAGCATAGAGCATATCAGAAGTAAATATTACTTTTTTGAGTGTCCTGTGTGAATGTGTCTTGATGTGTGATAAATTTCCATTTCTATATATTCAAACATAAATTTAACTTTTACAAGAGTTCTACCAAAACATGGAGCTCTTTTGCCGCTATTGACCTTCTAATGAAGTAGGTGGTAGTGCATAAAATCTGCATCATCTCCTAATTATTAAAGGCTAGATGTTGTTTACATAGATACACAGTTCTGTATGATACTGTAGCAGTAAAACAAAAAAGTATTACTAGTGTGTCAGCTGATAGTGGTTTTCAAATGAAATGACACTTAAAAATATATATCTAGATATCCCGGTTGCGTACAAATATTTACTTTGTTACATTTTCAGTCTAATGTATAAAATGTAGCTAACATACATGTAGATTTTCACTATTTTTTTTTTATTGTAACAGCCATAATTATTTCATTAGATGGGAAATATTGTCACCAGCCTTTCAGTCTAGTCGCAGCCAAAATTATAGCAGTTTAATATGAATGTTTTGTTAATCTTTTTTTTTAACTGCATTTCTGTGAGCCAACAGAATGAATAAAAAGAAGTTTTAATTATATTTTTGTCTAAAAGTTTGTAAACTGTTAATAAAAGTTGATCAATAATTACTTACCTTTTTGTTTTCTGTTGAAATAATAAGTATAATAATTGAATGTTTGTATTCAAGAATGTCTCTCTATTAGATTTGGTCAGTATGTCGAATGCTGCATGTGTTGTGTATAATAAGATTGTGTCATGCTAATGCAATAATGCCACTGGCTACTATTTCCCCATTCATTATTATAACCAGACACTGCTTGTAATACTGTGGAGGTATGTTTGATTTGTTGAAGTGCAAAATTTTATTTTATTTTGTATTTTATCTTTCAAATGAGTTTTTACATTATTTTTTTTCAGACTGCCAATATTTGTTTCAAATCAACATCATCTTTCCTTGATTTCCTCATGGAACATAGTGCCTCAGTAAAAACATGCCACTCTCCATGGTCTCTTGCTAGTTTTTTTAATGGCTTCCCAGCTCTTTCCTGTCCTCTCAGCTTCATCTATTATACTGCGGTCACCATGTTCTTTTTGGTCTTCCTTTACGTCAATATTTGTTTCAAACACCTGTACATAAATGGTTAACTATCATTTTTATTATATAGTTTTCAACAAGCATGTATTATTTGTGCTTTGGACTGTCTTCTTGATGGTCTTGAGTTCAAACCCACCGCCATCCATCTAGAAGTTTGGGCTAGGATGTTATCTTCAATTCTGCTGGAACATCTTAAAACAAACAAAATAATGCTGTTAAATTTATAATAATGACAGCCAGGTATTTCTCAGTCATCCATTCTTCTTGTGATATATTTTATTGAAGTAGTAATGTTCACATTTTTTTTGAAAGGCTTAAATGTTTTCCTTTAGTTTAGTTAGAGCTAATGAATACTGGAACTGGGCATCAAATATGGAAAGTAAAGATAACTGGTTGTTATTCTGTCCACATAATTATTCTGTTGTTTGTTAGCCACAGAAAAAGATGCTTTTCACCTGATTTGCACTTGATGCCTGTTTTTAAAGGAAAACTATTTAAATGAATAACCACACCAGAAGGCAATGATAGACTGGCTTATTAGTCAACAAATGTCTTTGGAGGGGGGGATAAATTAGTTCTGTTGACAAGCAATAGAGTAATCTTTTCTAGATGCCATATTTGAATAATGTGATGCTTCTAAAAGTGTTATCCTAAGCAGACTGTACACTTGTCTGTAAAGATAATTTAACCCATTAGCTGAGGGACAATCGTAAGCCAGTGGCACTGCATTTTGGTGAGCTGAAAATACTATAAAGACCAGCTAACTTCCACCGGCAGACCACAGTTGTGTCTGTGCTGGATGTAGCAAAATATGTAGATCGCAGCTATGACTAATGCAAGCCTTACATATATATATATATAATATATACAGATTTGGCAGAAAAGGTTTGACCATTAACAAATTATATATACCGGTAGATCATATTTTTAGGGTAGCATTACCCTGTGGTTAATTTAATTAATTTTTGTATGATAGACACAAATTCTGTTTGTAATTAAAGAAGAAAATAAAAGACCCAAAATCAAGAAGACTTAGTAAAGTTGCATTGGAAAACTGCATCCCTAGATCACAGTCTGACACAACATGAACAAAAAACACTGCTTGTGATAGCCCTGGAAAAGATGTTTGATGTAAAAATCTTGATTGGAGCACACAAAAAATAACTGCTACTTCGACAAAAAATGTCAATAACTTTAAACAAAGATCAAGCTGAGTGATGATTTAAAAAAAAAAAAGAATATAACTGTATTCAATTAAACCTCTACTTTAATCCAACACTCACAAATTAAAATCAGACCAAAATGTGACAGCAAATAATCATTTATAATGGAATTGTAAAAGCTAAAGAATAACAAAGAAACAGAAGAAATTACAATCGGAACAGGTGTTGATTGTCATAATTTGTCAATTTTAATCCCAGTAAAGAATAAAATGTCATACATGAGACTTTGCAGTCCTAGTAAAATGCAAAGCAAAAGGAAGGCTGGGAAAAAAAATCATGTGAAAGCAATGTGTTAAGAAGAAAATCTGTTCATTAAGCTTTTATTCTAGCTATAGACTGCAGTATTTTTTTTTGCTAATAGGTGTCTGTAGAAGGAAAAGGATAATGATGTACAAATGTTTAGTATGTATTTTTAATGGTTACAGTTACTACTTAGTGAAAGAGTGGCTCAGCATGTATTCAATAAAAGGAATGACAGCCTAAGAGATTTCAAATTTTTATTTAACCTGCAATACTGTTTTCTAATTGAATAATCAATGCAAATTAACACAAGATGCTTGCTCTTATGGTGAAAGAAAATAGTTCATCAATTCTGAGATTACTTTAGTATTTTTATACTAATTAAATACAAAAAATGATCATTAAGATCCAGTGTTGATGATAATACATCACACTTTACAGTCAACATACTGGCACAATATATATTCCAAAATGTTTGTTTTATTGAGCTATTATTTATACAGTAGAACAGTGATATGACAAACTCGCAACATTCTAGAATCAGTGTTTCTCAAATTACATTATCTTGAAATATACACAAGGGGAATAACCAATAATTATTGTTTTGTTGGTAATATGTTTAACATGTTTCCGATGTTCTTTCAGAATTGAAGATAATCTACATCTTAGCACAAACCTTCTGCAGGATGATGGGAGATAGCAGCAGGCACGGTAAGAACCAGGGATTGTTAAGACAACCAAACGACAGTTCAGCGTGCATACTACACAACCATGCAGCCATCCATAAACTTTTTACAGATTGTATTCCTACTGAAGAATTTAGAACAACAGAATGCAGTATTCAATGGAGAAATAATAACCAGATAGAAAGAAACTGCCAGTCTATGTACACAATATCACTGTTCTACTGCAAGGAAAACATTTCTCAAGCTTACATTTTTTACTTGTAATCTACTATGCATAAATATATTGACATCACTACACCACTAGCATGTAATGTTTAGGTTGCTGATTGGTAACAATGTCATTTACAATAAACCATTTAACAACAAATGACGCTAACAAAAAACAGAAGGCTCTCATAAATCTATACAGCTAAAGCTCCTATAAAATTATTCTGTACAGTGAACTTTGAAACAAATTACATAAGAGTTTTAAAATTAATTATAATTAGCGCTTATGCCAGATCCTAAAAAAGCAATGCTTCAACAATGTTTATCAAAAGCAGAACATCTGCAGAGCATCTTTAAAAGAAATTTCCTTGGAAGAAATGGCTGAGGCAAAGTAAGCGATACAAATAAAGGTTTAAAATGTATTTTTTTAAAAGGCTGTTACTCAGTAAATTGTATTTAACCATGCTTTCTTCCTGCTAGTGAAGTTCCTCTGTATTAGGTATTGAAAGAATCATGCTTTTAGCACTCCTTCAGGAAGACCATTGCGTCTGTAGAACTCTGATTTAACATGACCAATGCGTACATGTTTCCTATCAGGATGATCAACATGCAGACTCAGTTTCTGACCATAAATAGTTGATGAAAGTGTTGGAACATCTTTCTGAAGCTCCTACAGTAATAGAATTTATAAAAATATAATTAAAGCATAATAATTAATTATCAGTGATTACATTTTTTTTTAAAATCTTGTCATATTTTTCCTTAAATTGACTTTAAATTTCAGATCTTCCTTTCAGAAGTAAAGATTACTACAACCTAGCAAAAACATTCAAGAGAAGGTTTAGAATCAGGCTCATATAGACCCTTTCCTTCTCAATGCTCCTAAAGAAATGCCTGTTGCAGTATAGTACTCATAAGTGTATGATGGAGATGCTTTTGAACTACATGAAAATCCCAGTTCCTATGAGTTTTATGACTACCCGTACTTAAATAAAATTATCAGATGCTTCAAAAATGAATTGATAATCACAAATAACTTACTTGTTTCAAGCTTAAAAAAAAAAAGAAAAATGTTTTTTTTGTAGAATGCAAAAAGAGTGCTGACTGGTGGGTTTAGCTAATTAAGTGTACAAAACCAGCATAAGAGTGTAAACAAGAAAATGCACAGAGGGAAATAAAATTAAAGTGGAATCTTCTTTATTGGATGGCTGCTTGCTGATGTAGTATGCACTCTGGATTGCATCTTGATGGTCTCAGGTTCGAACCATGCCTGCCATCATCTTCCAATGTCCTGTATGAGGTTTGTGCTAGGACTGAATGATCTTCAATTTTAAAGAAACATGTAAAACAGCAACAAAACAATTGTAAATGGAAAAGAACTTCAGCAAGGGAAATAAATGAACAATATGTATATCATACAAAGTTACTTCCCTTGTTAATAAAGTCTTTAAAAACATGAGGCAATTTCATGACTCATGTTTGAGATTTGTATTTTCTTCTCAAAGGATTTAGATTTTATTATGCAGTTCAGTTTAGACTGTTGAGCAATACAGCAAAAAAAAATTGGGTAAGCACTGTATTGAAGTGAAGAAAGAAATATTATTAGTGTCCTGATTTAGTCAATTCAGAGATTGCTATAAAACACAATGCATATGTTTAGACATAATGAAGGAGAGGGGATACGCACAAAGTATGTTGTACAAACCTTAGGAGCATGGTGTCTGGTGTGTTGTGGGTGTGGAGAGGCATCAGTCAGTCAGTCTTATTTACTAGGCCATTTGATACCAATATATGTTGTAACATACTCTATGCCACACACACACACACAATGGAATGATAAAAATGTATCACTTGTAGCATGTTAAAGAATTGATGAACATAATAGGCGACTACTAACCTATTATGTGAAAAAAGCATGCAAGGAACCGAAAATTTTATTTCAACCAGACGTAAATGACTATAAAACATCCACTTTTTATAAATAAGGAGAAAATAAAAACACAATTTTAAGCAGAACTTCTGTTAGTGAGAGTTATTATTATATTGGTTCAACCGTATTTGAAATATAAGAAAAGATAACTTCTGCCTCACTCCTTTCTTTTTTTTCAATGATATATATGTTCATACATCTAACAGTCTGTACTATAAATTGTAGCAAATAACAATAAAACATCCTTT